ACTGTTCGAGCTCCTCGTGGGAGCACAAGACGGCGCCGATACAGTCATCAATGTAACGGAGGAAGAGGTGGGGTTTAGGGCCAGTGTGGGTACGGAAGAGGGATTGTTCCACGTAACCTACAAAGAGGCAGGCATAGCTCGGGCCCATGCGGGTACCCATGGCCACCCCCTTTGTCTGTAGGAAGTGGGAGGAATTGAAAGAGAAGTTGTTGAGGGTGAGGACGAGTTCGGCTAAGCGGATGAGGGTGTCAGTGGAGGGGGACTGGTCGGGCCTGCGGGACAGGAAGAAGCGGAGGGCCTTTAGGCTATCTGTATGGGGAATACAGGTGTATTGGGACTGGACGTCCATGGTAAAGATGAGGTGTTGGGGTCCGGGGAATTGGAAGTTCTGGAGGAGGTGGAGGGTGTGGGTGGTGTCACGGACATAAGTAGGGAGTTCCTGGACCAAGGGGGAGAAAATGGAGTCCAGATAGCTGGAGATAAGTTTGGTGGGGCAGGAGCAGGCGGAGACAATGGGTCGACCAGGGCATTCAGGCCTAGGCCCAAAACATCAGCCTTCCTGCTCCTATGATGCTGCTTGGCCTGCTGTGTTCATCCAGCTCTATACCTTGTTATCTTATATTTTTATATATTGTGTATATAATTCCTTGGATCGTGTTATATCCTGGTTTTAAGTTTTGGGCAGAGAGTGACATATCAGGTCAAAATTAAAGCAGAATGGTGAGGAAAGGAAAACCAGATCCAAACGTGAAAATGTTCTAGAAACGGCGCAGGTGTGGTGTTTCGTAAATGTTCTCTTGCTCTCCCCTTCAAAGAAACGATGGGAGGAAAGATGGGAGTTATTTGTTAAGAAATTTATCTATGGGTGCTAAAAAATGCTTACAAAAGGTGTTTGGTATCCTGATTTTCTTGTTAATGTAAATTTTTTTTGTATAGAAAATATAAAGTTTTGTATTTGAAAGGTAGAGGATTCAGTGAAGGTCCATGAAATGCTGGTTTGGCCTCCAATGAAGCATTCTAAGCTCCACAGATTTTAGGAAGGGTTCGGAAAAGATTCATGAGAATGGTTCCTGGAATGAGGGACTTAAGTTCCAATGGAGAGTTTGGTGCATTCCTTCAAAAGAGGAGAGCAAGTTATTGAGAGGAGATTTGACGGATGTGCCTGGAACTGTTAGACGGGATACAGGGGAGAAATGTTCCTGCCATTTGTCAGATGGTTGAGACCCAAAGGAGACTGATTTATGGCAAAAGGAGCAAAGATGAGATGAGGACAAGCCCTTTCCTCAAGATCCAACATCAAATTTAACAACCATAGAACATGAACGCCTCTTTCTATGTCTATTTTGCACCACAACCACCACACCCAGGTCCTGTCATGACATGGGTTGCTTTCAGCATATCCAATATATTTTCAACTACTCATAGCCCCCATTATCACCTATCTAGCTTCTCCTTTTCCCTAGCTTGCTATTGATAATCCCTTTGTCGACCTGCCTTTTTCCCTGGGCTCTGTCTCCATCTCAGGCCCCTTCATCAAACTATACCAGCTTTTCCCCACTATGGTCAGTTCTGTAGGAGGGTCACTGGACTCAAAATGTTAATTGTTTTTCTCACTCTGCTGATGCTGCCATACCTGCTGAGTTTCTCAAGCAATATCTATGTTTTTTCAGATTTCCAGCACTTGCAGTTCTTTGTTTTATTTTTCATTTTTAAAAAATGCTTTTAATGATAGGAGTGGATTCAGTCCTAGCTTTCAAAAGGGAATTGGATGAATTTCTGAAGAGAGAAAACCTGCAGAACTACAATGAAAATATTGCATTCAATATTTGTCCCCTTACTCAAGGAGGGACATTGTTGTATTGGAGGCAGTTTGGAGGAAGTTCACTGGATTGATTCCTGAGATGAAGGATTTGTCTGATGAAAAGAATATGAAAGAGTTCAGAAGGATGTTGCCGAGTTGAATGTTTGAGTTATAGGGAAAGGCTGAGTAGGCTGGGGCTAATTTCCCTGGAGCATTGGAGCCTGAGAGGTGACATTATAGAGGTTCATAAAAACATGAGGGACATGGGTAGGGTGAATAGCCAAAGCCTTTCCCCAAGGGTATGGAAGTCCAAGACTAGAGGGCATAGGTTTAAGGTGAGAGCGGAAAGATTTAAAAGGGATCTAAGCAGCAACTTTTTCATGCAGAAAGAAGTGCGTGTGTGGAACAAGCTGCCACAGGAAGTGGTGGAAGCAGGGACAATTACAACATCTGGATGGATATGTGAATAGGAAAGGTTTAGAGGGATATGAGCCAAATGCTGGCAAATGGGACTAGATTAATTTGGGATATCCGGTCGACATGGATGAGTTGGGTTGAAGGGTCTATTTCTGTGCTGTACAATTCTATGACTCTTAAAGAGATTGAGCAGTTTAGGCCTATAGGGTTTTGAAGAATGAGAGGAGATTTAATTGAAGTATATATGATGCTAAAGGGGATTGACAAAATAGACAGATGGGATGTTTCCTCTTGTGGGGCAATCTAGAACAAGAGGTTATAGCTTTAGGATGAGGGGTGTTATATTTAAGGCTGTGTCTCAAAGGGTCAAGAATTTGTGGAATTTACTATCCCAGAG